TGAAACAGGGTTTTTCTGTGTTGTTTTGGTGCCTGTCCTGGATCTCGCTCTGTAGACCAGGCTGGCCTTGAACTCACAGAGATCCACCTGGCTCTGCATCCTGAGCACTGGGATGCGCCACCACTGCCCTGATAAAATAACTTTTAAAAGAAAGAAAACACACAAAGAGGGAGGGTCTGACTCCTCCTGCTCTGGATATGTGGGATGGCCCCTCACCTGGCCACAGGGGCGGCTGAAGTGTGTATTACAAATTGCTAAACGGTCTTTAAAATAAAATAAAATAAAATAAAATAAAATAAAATAAAATAAAATAAAATAAAATAAAATAAAATAAAATACCCAGAGCCAGATACTGGGGTGAAAGCTGAAAGATCAGAGAAACAGAACAAGCCAGCCAACCTCACCTCCCCAACTCCTCAGCCTCCAGAGCGTGAGTTCCTGTTTTCTCACGCCTTATATCTGTGTCCTGCCACATTACTTCTGGGATTAAAGGCGTGTGTCCTTCCCAAGTAAAGACATGAGATCTCAAGTGCTGGGATTAAAGGTATGTGCCACCATGCCTGACCTCTATGTCTAATTTGGTGGCTGGCTCTGTTCTCTGATCCTCAGATAAATTTTATTGAGGTGCACAAATAAAATATCACATTTCCCCTTTTTTTGTCTAAAATTTAAAAAATTATAACTAATATAAGAAAAAGTATATACAATAAGTACAATAACTATGTAAAATATATACAGACAATAAATACATCAACAATGTCTAGTCCATTTGCATTTGACAAATTCAGTGAAAATATTCCATTATCTATCCTGTTTTGGGGAGTCCAAAATGTACCGAATTCACTTTCTTCCCCCTCCCCCAGCTGAGGACCAAACCCAGGGCCTTGCACTTGCTAGGCAAGCGCTCTACCACTGAGCTACATCCCCAATGCCCCTTATTCACTTTCTATCCTAACTTGTATTACCAACTGAAAACTATCTTTTGGTGTCGTTCAAACTGATACACTTTATACCTCTTTAGTGAGTTTCTGTTCTGAATTCGTTAACAAGGAAAACTAGAACCATCTAATCTTCAACTCCCTCAGAGACCGGAGAAGGAAATAGTATTACCTAGTTAAACAGGAAGTGCAAACAAGCAACTTCCAAAACATGTGAGGAATGACAGGAACAGCTGGCTGCCTGGACAGACACCTGAGGTTTTTCTGCAATGTTGGGGCGTCCATCTTCGGCCTGCAGAGGTGCCTGCCTGCTTGGTGCTTCTCGGGCTGAACTCAGAGGAGCTGGCTGCAGGAGGCTTCCCCTCTGCTTTCCCGGCCAGCCTGTCCACCGCAGTCTCTTCCCCCTGCAAGCTGTAATGAGAGGTAGCCACCCTGTGAATGCCTGGATGGCCTGCGAACCCACAGATGGACTCGCTGACCGCCATCCCTACCCCCCTCCACACACCCCTCTTTTCTTCCTCCCCAGCTTGTGACCCCAGGTTCATCCCAAGATTCCAGTTGGCCCAACAAACCCATCGATAGGCATCTCCTGTGATCGCACTTTCAGAACAGACCCTGCAACTCCAGCCATGACCATGAGGTGGCGATGGCGTTCCGCGCTGGAACCAGAGCCAGCTGCATCCGAGCCTCGTTCCAACACGACCCGGGTGGGCAAGCTGGACCACACCGCGGTGCCTGTGCACCCTCTCACCGCAGGGCCCGCTGCGACCCAGCTCTCCCAGACTGTAAGAGACAGGCTGGAACATGGACAGAAGTCATAGAAAAACACTGCCTGGCAGGTCTCCCTGTGGATGACCCCTAACCAATACTTCTGATGGCTATGGGGCTATATGCCCATCCGTAGAAGGAAGCCAAATCCATTGGTGCCATCTCTTCAGCCTCCAGTCCACCTTCGACCCACGGGTCTCCCCCACACTCCACACTCTTTTCCTGGGAAGAAAAACAACGTTAATTACTCCAAGGACAGGGACACGGGATCTTCATAATTGGGCTACAGCCGGCCCTTCAAAGTATTAGCTGTGTGACTTTGGACAAACCACTTCGCTTTCCTCCTCCCCAGAGACGCGGAGTGAGATGGCTCAGCAGGTAGGGGCGCTTGCTGCCAAGCCTGCCCCCTGAGGGGAGGTGACCCCAGAGACGCGGGAGGTGACACTGACTCCTGTAACCTGCCCTCTGACCACCACCCACGTAATATCTGAGGGCGGCGTTTCGAGACAGGATTTCTCTGTACCACTGGCTGTCCTGGAACTCGAGCTGTAGACCAGGCTGGCCTCAAACTCCCAAGTTCTAGGAGTTCTGCATGCTTCTGCCTCCCGAGTGCTGGGATTAAAGGCGTGTGCCACCACCGCCCGGCTCAGATTAACACGTTTTTTATGACGTGCCCTTTAATAAACACTGCACTCTCTTAGAAAGCTAATTGGGAGAAATGTGGGTTGTGCTTCTACTACCCGAAATGAGGTGGGGACCCAGCACCCAGGGGCTTGTGGGTTCAGAATCGTGCATACACACATTCACACACACACACACACACACACACACACACACACACCCCTGCTGGGGAACACCACGCCCTCTTGTCCAGACTGTCCTGCAATACAGTGGGAATGAACTAAACACCAGTGGTGTGGACTGTGTCACCACTCAGGGCTTTTGATTCACTTTCAATTTTTTTTTTCTTTCTTTTTGGTTTTGGGATTTTCTAGACAAGGTTTCTCTGTGTGGCCTGGCTGCCCTGGAGCTCACTCTATAGACCAGGATGGCCTTGAACTCAGAGATCTGCCTGCCTCTGCTGGAATTAAAGGCATGTGCCATCACCACCCAGCGCCCAGTTTTCAACTTTTCAACTGGGAAGATATTTGAGAGCCCCACACTCAGCTATGGGCAGCTGTCATCTCTGGAGCACACTGGGAAAGGGTTTTCTCTGACTTGGTAAAGTGTAAGCTATGTTTAGGGCTGTCCCCACAGCTGTGGGTCTTCTGCTCCATGTGAAAAAGGAACATTTCCAAATAAAACTTTGAAGTGAAGTATCCTCTGACCAGCTGGGATTGGTAGCTTGGCCTGCAGTCTCAGCACGCAGGAGGCTGAGGCAGGAGAATGATCATGAGTTCAAGGCTGGACTGAGCTACATATAAACCAGTTATAGAGTCAGATCTTGTCTCAAAATACATAAATAAAAATAACACCCGGGAGGCAGAGGCAGGTGGATCTCTTGAGTTTGAGGCCAGCCTGGTCTACAGAGTGAGTTCCAGGACAACCAGGGCTACACAGAGAAACCCTGTTTCGAAAAGCCAAAAAAAAAAAAAAAAAAAAAAAGGGCTGGAGAGATGGCTCAGAGTTTAAGAACACTGGCTGTTCATCCAGAAGTCCAGAGGTTCAATTTTCAGCATCCATATGGTGGCTCACAACCATCTGTAATGAGATCTGTTTTTTGTTTTTTGTTTTTGAGACAGGGTTTCTCTGTGTAGCTTTGCATCTTTCCTGGAACTTGATTTGTAGACCAGGCTGGCCTCAAACTCACAGAGATCCTCCTGCCTCTGCCTCCCGAGTGCTGTGATTAAAGGTATGTGCCTTCTGGCCTGCAGGGATACATGCAAACAGAACACTGTATACATAATAAATAAATCTTTTTAAAAAATTTTTAAAAAAGAAAAGAAGAGAGAGAGAAAGAGATATGAAGGGAGGGAGGGAGGAAAGGGGAGAGGAAGGAAGGAAAGAAAGAAAGAAAGAAAGAAAGAAAGAAAGAAAGAAAGAAAGAAAGAAAGAAAGAAAGGAGAGAGAGAGAAAGGAAGGGAGAGAGAAAGATAGAAAGAAAGAAAAAAGAAAATGCAAGGTTGATTGCTGAAGCCATTGACAAGTCCCAGAGCCTGGGAAGCAGAGTACAGTTAGCATTCCACCCACAAAAGAGCAGCTGCGCTTTCTCTTGCTATTTATGGAGTTTTCCCTTTGCTTTTGAGATGGTCTCCCTAGTTCTGCAGGCTAGCCTCCAGCTCCTGGCTCACCTACCCTCCCACCTCGGCCTCCCATGGCCAGAGGCATTAGCCACTACACCTGGCTCCTGTTTTGTATTTTTACTATGATGATTATATATGTGAAATTCATTATTTAATTATTGCACTATTATTGGCCATAATGATTGATGTCGTGCACATTATTCAATTTACAAATTAATGTATAGAGGAAGAGAGTTTAAGAAATGTATCTTCTAGGTGCTGGAGCACTCACCGGCTGCTCTTCCAGAGGATCTAGCTCCCGGCACCTTCCTGGTGGCTCATAACCATTGGCAACTCTAGTGACCTCTTGTGGCCTCTGTAGGAACTGCATGTGTGTACACAGGCAAGCCACCCTCACACCCATAAAATAAAAGAACCTTTTGAAGAAAGAACAGAATGAGCAAACCAACTGGAAAAGGCAGAAGAAAGCCACACACCCATGTCAGAGCACCTCCCCTCCCCCTCAGCCACACAGTTGGGTACCTGGCCCCACCTGGTTATGAAGGAAGGTAAGAAATACATCTTTCTTAAATGGCATCGTGCCCGACTACATGAGGGAGTTTTCCTAAAAGAGAGACATGATGTCTTAGTCAGTGTTCTACTGCTGTAGAGACACCATGCCATGGCAACTTCTATAAAAGAAAGCATTTAATTAGGGGCTTGCTGACAGTCTCAGAGGCTTAGTCCATTATCAGCATGGCAGGGAGGAGCGGGGAGGGGGAGGGGGGAGCAGGGGGGGAGGGAAGGGGGGAGAGAGAGGGAGGGAGAGAGAGAGAGAGAGAGAGAGAGAGAGAGAGAGAGAGACGCTGGCTGGGGTGCGTACTGGCCTTTGTGTTGGGGAATATTTGTTTACACTGTAAAGATGTGTCTTTGCCAAGGTGCCTTCTGATTGGTTTGATAAAGAGCTGAATGGCCAATAGCTAGGCAGGAGGTATGGGGGGACTTCTGGGCAGAGAGACACCGGGAGATGCAGAATGAGTCAGAGATACAGAGTGAAAGAAAGATACAAAGCCGTGCGGTAGAAGGTAAATTTAAAAACATGGGTTAATTTAAGATATAAGAGCTGGTTAGGAACAAGCCTAAGCTATAGGCCGAGCTCTCATAACTAATGTAAGTCTCTGTGTCATTATTTGGGATCTAGCTGGTGGGACAGTGAAAGGCTCGATACATCTTTGCAACCACAAGCCTACCCTCAGTGGCACACTTCCTCCAACAAGGCCGCACCTCCTAATCCTTCTCATCCTTTTCAAATATTGCCATCCCCTGGTGACTAAGCATTCAAATACATGAGCCTGTGGGAGCCACTTTTATTCAGAGCACCACAGATGGGTACCAGGGAAGACAACTGATCTAAGGAGTCTTGGTCCTCCCTCCATCCCATTGAGTTGGGTTTTTTGTTGTTGTTGTTGTTTTAATACAATAAGACATTTTTAAAAGATGTATTTATTTACTATGCACAGTGTTCTGCTGGAGCATATACCTGCAGGCCAGAAGAGGGCGCCAGATCTCATTACAGATGGTTGTGAGCCACCATGTAGTTGCTGGGAATTGAACTCAGGACCTCTGGAAGAGCAGCCAGTGTTCTTAACCTCTGAGCCATCTCTCCAGCCCTGAGATGCGTTTTTGCTGTGTGTCTAACTGACCTTTGACTCACTATGTAGCTCAGGCTGACCTGGATCTTCCAGACAGTCTCCTGCCTCTGCCTCTGGAGTGCCGAGATTAAAGAAGTATGCCACCACACTTGGCACCAGAGAATTTTAAGAACAAGAAAGGTGTGACCTGTGGGTGAATGTTGAAAAGACAGGAAGGACCATATGGGCCTAGTGGCTGCAGATGAGGCTACGGACCAATGTGGAGGGATGCAGAGGGAGAAGGTGGGAAGAGCAGAGAAGCCAGGCCGGAGTGTGGCCGCTGCTCAGATTGGCAAGAGTAGACTGGAAGACGCTTGTGCCGATGACCTGAGTGCCAGACACGTGAGTGTCCCAGGGCAGC